CACACACACACACACACCTCCCTCAGGCACCCGGAACAGCCCTGTGCCAAGTGTCCTGGGACAGGGACGCCCGCAGCCAGCCATGGCGGGAAGGTGACCTGGAGAACAATGCCTCCCCTCCCACCACCTGTGCAGACACAAGGAGCCATTGTCAGCCTGGCACTCGCCACAGGGCAGTCTCTCAACAGGCACTCCTGGCGGCTGTGCCAGCATGTGGGGGCGGAAGGCTGGCGGCTCCCCAGGACCACCTGCTCCCACCCCCCCATCCAGAGCCTTCTGCCTGGTCCTGCAGATCCTGAGGGGCTTAACTCCCTGGCCCACCTTCCCTCCCCAACCCCTCAGGGCTGATTAACTCTCCTCAAGGGGCACCTAGGGATTACAAAGGGCCGGGCTTGGTGGTGAGAAGTGTGGAACATAGATTCAAACACACATGCTGTGTGACCTTGGGCAAGTCACTTCACCTCTCTGAGTCTCAATGACCACATCTGTAAAATGGGCTCATGCTACCAGCTATCTCACAGGGTTGGTGGGATGATTAACTGAGTCAGAGCATACAAAATGCCAAGGCAGTGGGTGCAGCCCTGAGATCCGGGAGGCCTGGGCTGTAGTGCCTGCTGCTTCCTTGCCACAAGGCCTTGAGCAATGATATCCCCACTCTGCACCTTGGTCTTCTCACTGTGCAAGTGGGGGTGACCCTTGCCCCTCCCTCTGAGAGGAGTCCATTCTGTGAAACCCTTACACACAGCTCAGGGTGGGCTTGGCACACAGTAGGCACTCAATGCTGGCCATGACCATTATCTTACATGGAATGGGGCTTGTTGTCTCATTTTTTGCATTCACCTGACCGATGTTTTCTGTGTACCTACTATGCTCTGTTAATGGTGCTGAGCGTCTTACCCTGACGCTGTTCTGTCCCCCTGGGCCACAGCGGGCCCCTAATTGATGCTTGCTGACAGACTCAATGAGGGAAGGTGATTCAGTGATGTCATCATTTCCGAGTACCCCAAGAACATCAGCTAGAAGTAGTCAGGTGACCTGGGTCAGCCTCTTAGGAGCCTGTGACATCCCGCCAGGGCCCTTTGTCGGTCAAGTGGAAACAGGCCCGCTGATCCCTGCTCCATTAGCAAAGCTGTGGTGAGGCTGAAGCAAGACCGAAAGAGGGAGAGAGCGAGGGTGCAGCTCAGTGGGCAATAACGATGCAGGGACACCCCGCCGGGGCGGCCCGAGCTTTCTAGGACCCTCTCCTCCTCATCCTCAGGTCCCTGTTCAAAGGGAACCTCGCCCGGGCAGCTGTGCCCCCTCTTAGGCCCCACGGCCACACTCTGATTGCTTTCATCAGAAAACGCTCAGCCCCACCTGACGTCAGGCGATGCATTCAGTGGCTCGGCAGGTTCACCCTCTCCTCTAAAACCCGGATTCCTCCCTCTTGGCACTACTGCCACTTGGGGTCAGATCACTCTCTGTCATGAAGACCCCCTGGCCTGGGCACGGTAGGAGTCGTTGAGCAGCAGCTGTGGCCTCTACCCACGAGACGACATTAGCGTCCCCTCCCCCACCCAGCTGTGCCACCACAAATGCCTCCAAACACTGCCAAGTGTCCCTGGGGGCCAGAATAGTATCCAGCTGAGATAATGAGCTCAAGGAGGGCAGGGCTTTTTATCTGCCTGGTTTCCTGCCATATGCCCCCGTGTACACAATACGGATTCGCCGCATACTTGTCAAATGAATCTTGAACAGAGGACTCCCATGACACATGTGGTTTCCCTTTCCTAGAATTTCTCTCTTCCACCCCTTTTTCTAGTGAACTAGAACTCACGCTTCAAGACCTTGGGAGGCAACATGTAAGAGGAAAGAGAGCTGAGCAGAAACTGAGGTGAGGAGAACAGCGCCTACTCTAGGTCACGGAAAGGGGCACCCATGACCCGCGCCAGCCTCCTAAGCCCTGCAGGAACGTGAGTCAGGATGGCCAGATCGTCCCATTTTTTCAAGAGAAGCCAGAGGAATGAATTTTATGTGAGATCTGGTATTTCAAATATTGGCGACTGATTCACATTTAAAAAAAAAAAAAAAACTTCAAGGGCCAAACCAAACAAACCCCTGGCCTGGATTTGGCCTATGGGCGGCCCGTTGGCAAGGTCTGCTCTCGGGGCTTTGATGGATACGGTCACCTTGGAGTGTGCTAAAGTGTTTGAAGACAGTTCTTCCTGGTGTCTCGCTTGCATCCCCTTCTCTGTAGCTGTGTGGGAGGGGTCCTCGTATAGCTGACGCAGCTCTGATGCGTGGAGGCAAAGCCCCCGGCTCTAGGTAAAAGCCACAGGCAACAGCTCAGCCCACCCTACACTGGCTGTAGGCCCGGCTCAACCCAGAGACAGGGGTGGAGGTCTCACCCCCAGACTGAGAGAGGCATTTCTGGCTCCAAAATCCCCACGTCAGGCGCAGGGGAGACCAGCCCTCAGGCTGGGGCTGTTTACCCCAGACTCCTTGGCCTCGTTAAGAAGTAAAAACAGGGAAACCAAGGCAGGGCTGGGCCTCATGGTCCCTTGGGCAGGCTCAGAGGAGCCAGGAGGCAGACTCCTCTGGAAAGTCCCTCTTCTTCAGAGCTGGTTGGGCGCCAGGGAAAGAGGACACCAGGGTCTCCTAGCCTCTGAGGCTCCAGCCACATCCAGCAGCTCCTCAAGCCTCTGCCCTTCCTGGGACAGAACTTTGTAGAAACTGAAGTTGAAAAAGCCCCTCTCCGGGAACCCAAGGCCTTCTTGATGGGAACCGCGGGACTGCGAGACAGGGGCGTGAACCCTGGTCCCCAGGCCCGATGTTGGCTAGAGACCCTAGAAGCCAGAGCCAGTTCCCCCGCTGCCCATGGCCCTCTCAAGGGCCCTACCAGCCATTTCCCTCAGCCAGACCCTAAACCAGCCAGGCCCAGGTTGTATCAGGCACGGCTTCCATCATCCAGGGGGCCAGGAGGCCTGCAGACCAGACTTCTAAGCCTCACCTTGCTGTGTGAGCTGAGGCAGGTCACCTGGGCTCTCCAGCTCTGGTTCTGCATCCATAAAAGGCCTCCATCCGTCTGTTGTAGGATGTCAAGTGAGCACGTGGGCCCGTGGTGGGTGCTGGAAAGGGAGAAAAGATAATAACATTTAGTGAGCAAGTACTCTGCTCTAGTGCTGAACAATCTACACTCTTCATCCTCACCATAGAACACTGAACTTGGTCACTCAACAAACATTTGGTGAGCACCTACTATGTGCCAGGCTCTAAAGCTTTCATGGAGAATAACACAGAACTGAACTCTGCCCCTTGGAGCTTATAGTCTAGAGGGTGGGGAGTAATAAACTCCCCAAATCATAATGTCAAGTGGTGGAGAAAAAATTTAATGCAGGGTAAAGGGACAACAGGGTAAAGGAATAATAGGAGCAATTTAAAAAAGGAGGTCAGAGCAGGCCTTCTGGGGGCATTTAAACAGAGAGCTGATTAGGGTGAAGGAGGGGTATCTGGGGGAAGGATGTTGCAGGCAGAGGAAACAGCAAGTGCAAAGGTCCTGAGGCAGAGAAGAGGATAGAAGAAGATGAGGTTATAAGGGGGAGCAGAGGGCAGATCACCTACAGCCTGGTGAACCACAGGGAGGAGTGGTTTTCCTGCCAAGTAAGATTGGAGCCATGTGAGGATTTTGAGTAGAAGAGGGTCAGGACCTGATTTCTTATTACTATCCCCATCTTAGAAATGAGAAATCTGAGGATCAGAGAGGCGAAGTCACATGCCCAAGGTCACACAGCCATTGAATGGCAGAGGTGGAATTTGAACCCATATCTGTGTGACTCCCAAGGCGGGAATCTTTTTAATTCCTTGGCTGCCTCTGGCTCTGGCATGAGTCAGGAGGCCGGATGAGGTGCAGAGAGAGGCGGCCTCTCAGAGCTGCCCTTTGCAGCCTCCTGCCCCTGCCTGACACACCATATCTTTTTCCCACTCATGCCTTCTCCCTCACCCTCAGCCATCCTACAGCTGCCCAGGTGATCGCCTCACATTTAAGACCCTCTGCTCCCATGTGCGTATTGATTTTCAGTGATGGACAAAAGGAGGGGCTATTCAAAAGGACCCCGGTACTAATGGAGGGTGACAGGCAAGGACGTTGGAGCCTCTGGCACAGCTGTGGCTCTGCCTCTAATTTGCAGTGGCCAGGGCCAGTCCCTGGTCTCCAATGCCATGCTTGCTTCAAGGACAATCACTTTCTTTTTCTCGTAAAAGGAAGAGAAATTGTCAGCCCTTCGGTTTCACTCTGAGCTTGTCGATGTCTTTCCAGTAACTGAAGACGAGTGGCTGGGCCACAGGAGGCTGCCTGTGGAGGCTTTGGGGACCCTGGGTGATGCCACCTGGCCCGCCTTGCATCACCCCCGTCTCCGCGCCTCTCCCGCCTCCTCCAGTAATTGCGGTATTTGGTTTCCCTTCCACACCAAATGCGAAACTCTCCTGGAGGTAACGCAAAGAGGAATCGGTGTCAATCTCTGAACTGTGGTTGAACAAAGGTATTCTTAGGCGCCTGCTTGCGAGGGTGGTGAACTTCTGGTGCTAAAAGCAGAATTGCTTTTCAGTAAATGTTATTACTCAAAAGGAACTTGTCACCACCGCGGCCACCTCGGGCCTCTTTCAACTGCCACACTGTCTGCCTGGCCCAAGGCGGGAGGGGGTTGTTTCTCTCTGTGGCTCCCTATGGCCCCACCAAGCCGCTGGGGGAAACTTTGGCTGTCTCAGCTGACCCTGGCCCGCTGAGACTCAAGTTCAAATACCCACAGCCTGCCTAGGCACCGTATCTGAAGGTACCCGCTGTTTGCTGATTCAGCATTTAGGTCTCCGAGTTTGAGTGGTCTCGGCTGGGCCAAGCTGGAGCTGAGCGTGCGGTCAGGGCATAAGGGAGAGTTGTCCGGTGACTGTTTTTTCACGAAGTGTTGCCTATCTCGGCAACTCATCTCTCTTAATCCCTATTTCCTCTTCTCTAAAATGCGAGGGGGGAATAACAATACCCCATTGTAAAGAGCTAAGCAGAGCAATTGGCCATAGTACATGCTTAATAAATAGGAAGGTTATTATTCATAATGAAAATGACACTGGATTTAAATCAGACAGACCAGGGCTCAGATCTCAGCTCCACCATCCACGGGTTGCATGATCTTGGACAAGTCCATTCAGCTCTCCGGGCCTCAGTTTTCTCCGGTAGAAAGTAGGGATAATAATGATGCCCAGTGTGTAAGATTGTTGGGAGGACTCAGTGAGTTGGAGCATGTAAATCACCAGGTACACAGTAGGTATGCAGTAGGCATGAGTTCCGTTCCCTCTCTTTCTTGCCTTAGGGAGACTAGCCCCTGAGCCGTCCATCCGCCTGAGCAACCCGGCCCACAGGCAATGGCTTCCCTCGCTGAGACGCTTCTGTGAAAGCACGCACCAGGGTCCAGAGGGCAGATGAGACCCCACCAGACCAACCTCAATGCAGCCCTTGCAGGACACAGTCTCCTGTAGAAAGGCCTCAAACCACAGAATGGCCTGTCACGATCCCAACCTAACGCTCTCAGAGGACACCCTGAGGTCCCTTCCTCCACCTGCCACTGAGAAGCACCAATGACATGAGTGAGCCCTGTGTGTTTCATGGATCATCTCACTGAGTCTCCACCGCAACCTCTAGGTAGGTCGCCTCGTTGTTCAGCCACTTGCAGGTGTGGAAACCGAGGCTCAGGGAGGTGAGTGGTCTGGTGGGCTGAGATTTGAACCCAGGGCGCCCCATTGTCAAGCCACACACATAACCACCGCACTCTGTCTGATGACTGAGGCTCTGATGGTGCTTCCGTGTCACCAAAGGTACAATTACATTCAGATTGTGTCTGGGTATAAAAAAAAAATGTATTTCTGTTCTTTATTAAATTTTTTATTTTGAAATTATTGTAGATTCACAAACAGTTGGAAGAAATAAACAGAGAGATCTCATGTACCCTCTCCCCAGATTACCAGTGACAACATCTTGCAAAACTATCGTACAATGTCACCACGAGGATGTTGACATCGATACAGGCAAGATACAGGACATTTCCATCACCCCCAGGACCCCCAGGTTGCCCTTTCACAGCCAAACCCTTTTCCCACCCCCAACTGTGTCCCTGACCCCAGCAGCCACTAATCTGGTCCCCATTTCTATAACTGTGTGAGTTCAAGAATGTTATACAAATGGAATTGTATGGCACGGGGAACCCTTTGGGGTTGACACTTTTTTCTTAACTCAGCACCGTTCCCTAAAGATTCACCCGAATTTCTGTGTGTATCCATATTTGGTTCCTTCTTATTGCTGAGCAATATTCTACGGTATGGATGTACCACAGTTTCCTTATTCACTATTGAAAGGCATCTGGGGTACTTCCAGCTTTCGCCTCTTATGAATCAAACTACTATGAACCCTTGCGGACAGGTTCCTGTGTGAACATAAGTTTCCATGTCTATGTCCAGGAGGGTAATTTCTGGGTCAGATGTTAGTTTTTAAGAAATTGCCTAACTGTTTTCCAGAACATTGTACCATTTTACATTCCCTTTAGGAATGTGTGAGTGATCCAGTTTCTCCAGTCCTCACCAGCATTTAGCGTTCTCGTCATTGTTTTGTTTTAGTCATGCTGATAGGTGAGCAGTAATAGCTCCTGGTGGTTTTAATTTGCTTTTCCCTGATGGCTAATCACATTGAACCTCTTTTCGTGGGCTTATTTGCATCTGTGCATCCTCTTCTGTAAAACATCTGTTCCTGCCTTTTGCTCATTTTCTAACTGGGTTTTTTTTTATTATTATTACTTGCTGAGTTTTGAGAGTTCTTGATACATTCTAAACACTAGCCCTTTGTCAGATGTGTTGTTTGCAAATACTTTCTCCCAGTCTGCGGCTTGTCTTTTCATCCCCTTAAAGCACCTTTCACAAAGCAAAAGGTTTTAATTTTGATGAGGCACCATTTATCAATTTTTCCTTTTATGAATCACGCTTTTGGTGTTCAAGTTTAATCATTCTTTGCCTAGCCTTAGAGCCCAAAGATTGACTTTTCTTTAAATATAAAACATTTCCATAATCCATAAATGTTTTATAAATGTTTTACATTTAAGTCTATGATTCATTTTGAGTTCTTTTTTTTTTTTTAAAGAAATTTTATTGGGAAACAATGTGTTTTCCCAGGACCTATGAGTTCCAAGTCAAGTAGTTGTTTCAATCTAGTTGTAGAGGGTGCAGTTCCTTGGCCCATGTGGGAATCAAACCGGCAACCCTGATGCCATGAGCCCTCACCCCAACCACCTGAGCTAACCGGCCACCCCTTGAGTTAATTTTTATATAAGATGTGAGGTTTCAGTCAAGGGTTTTTTGTTGTTGTTCTTTTTTTTTTTTTGCCTATGGATATCTGATTGCCCCAGCATGGTTTACAGAAAAAGCTATCCTTCTTCCATTGAATTTCTTTTCACCTTGTCAAAAATCAGCTGTGCATATGTGTGTGGATCTCTTTCTGGGTTCTCTATTCTCTTCCATTGATTCCATGTCTATCTTTCTGCCAGTGCTACACTGTCTTGATTACTGTGTAGTAAACCTTAATATTGGTAGAATGATTCCTCCCAGTTTGTAGAAATTGTACAGCATATTTTAATTCATTAATAAGTGGGTGGCAAAGCTCTGTTTCCCAACTTATTCGTTTAAAAAGAGACTCCTGAGGCAGAGGTGGCTAAGGGGCTGTCAAAGAGCCATGCTTCACGTGTAAAGTGTCAGGTTGAAGATAAGTAGCTGCCCAGCCAGGTGACTACATTTCCCAATTTCCCTTGCATCTGGGTGGTACCAAGTGACTAGTTCAGGCCAATGGAAAGTGAGGGGAAATGTATACAGGTGTGTCAACCTGGGCGGATGGGTTCCTTCTCCGCCACCTCTCTTCTCTCTGGCTGGATGCACATCCTCAGGGTGACCTTGGAAGCTACCAGTTGAAGATGGCAGAGCCCTCATCAGTCAGGATACCTGAATGGCAACATGAAGCAAAGCTCCTCCTCCCTACAGTCATCCCAATGACCAAAAATGTCTGCATTTATAAATGAAATGTTCTAACACTATTACATTTTACAAGTGAAAATAGAAAATCCAATTTATAAAATACCTATCCGTGTACAACTGAAGCCATTTCAGATACCCCTGGCATTATTCACAATTTGGGAAATATATAGTCTAGACACTGGGTCAGCTGCTAGTCCACGCTCCTCCATCTAGAACTAGAAAAACAGAGGCCCAGGGAGGGATGGGATTTGCCCAAGGTCACACATTAAATCCAGGGCTGAACCCAAGTAATTCCACTCGTTAAATATAACTTAGTTTCATGAACCTTTGATTCCTTCTTTGAAAGAATGGACAAGTCTGAGCGTGTGTCACCCGAGACTCCAAGTGGATGATTATAAAGACAAATCATAATTAATAATTCCCTGCGAGGCAGGTCAGAGAGCTTCCGGGGCAGGGTGGCGCCTCTGAGCGCTGTTTTTGGAGAGAAGTAATTTTAAGACTTCCCGCCTTTCATGGGGGGTGGGGAAGCAATTTAAAATAAGCCTAATAAACATGGCTCATGTGGCTGTAGCCCATGGAATGAGGCTCTCATTTCCAGAAGCCACTCAGCCTTTATGATGTGGGGTTTGTCTGTGTGCTGAGGTTAAAGCGGGGGGAAAAAGACTAGGAGGGATTTATGGTGAAAAATAACATCAACAACAATAACTCCTTGTGGAACTGAGTGGGTCAATGCCTCGCGGTTGCTGAACTGAGTGGGTCAAAAGGCATCAGAAAAGGCAACTTTGGAGGACGGAGGAGGGCGGCAGTTAAGGGCACCAGTATCAGACCCACAGGCCTCAGTGCCAGGCTGCTTTGCCACAGAGCAGCAGCGAGTCTTAAGCCACTAACTTTGCCACCCTTGCCTCAGTTTACCCACTATGAGATGGGGATCATAACAGCACCTAGGGCTCTTTGAAACTAACATCTCCAAAAGAGCACTCTCTCCAGAAGCCTCTGGAACCCACCCAGGTAGGAACTTCTGTCTGTGCCTTGGCCACCATGCCCGGCATTGCACCCCATCATGCTAGCTAGCTCCACTGTGGACCACAGGAGCCTCCAAACCCAGCTTGACAGGTTAAGCCTCAAAGTTGCAGCAAAGTTAAGCTGCTGACTTGCCAGCAACTTCCCACCCTGGGCTATAGAGGGGCCAAGCCAGGGAGGGCGGACGAAGGCTTTTGTTTGCCCAGCCTCAGGTGAGGGTGAGAAGCAGCAACTACTGCCCATCCTGTGGCAGCACTCAGAGCTGTCTGCTCAGCCTTAAAGCCAGAGGAGGCAAGTCAGAACAGCCAAGAGGGAGACCCAGAGTCTGGGGGTGGGAAGTGATGCTGAAAGAAATGTCTATCCATCCACTCATCCACTCATCCATCCATTACCCATCCATCCATTCCCCTATTCACCCATCAATCCGTTCATCACCCATCTATCCATCCATCATCCATCCATCCATTCCATAAGCACATATTGAGCATTATGGGGGACCAGGCCCTGGGTTGGACATGGGGAAACAGCTGCGAATAAAGTCCCTGCCTTCAAGGAGCTGGCATTCTAGGCAGGGAGAGGGAAAACAAACAACTATGTAAATATTTACTATAATGACAGACTGACAAGTGCTAGGCAGAAAAATAAATTAAGATAGGAAGAGTGAATGCATGGCTGCTGTCAATGGAGGGGTCGATAAAGGGAAGAAAGAAGCGAAGGGCCAGCTCTGGTGAGAGAAAAGGGAGTGCAAAGGTCCTGAGGCCGGTCTGAGATTGGCATGTTGGAGCAACAGCCTAGAGACTAGTCAAGCCATCATGAGGGGAGAGAAGGGGGTGGAGGGAAATCCAAGAATAAGGCTGGGAGGGTCCTGGGCACAGGGAGACCCAGCTCCAGATCCGGTTCTGTAGAGTCAGGGGATGGTTTCTTTCCCTCTCCAGACCTCAGAGTTTCTGTCTATACAATGAAGGCCTAGGTGGGACTGTCCTTTCCCATCTGGGCCTCTGTCATTTGAAAAAGGTGGCTTTGCTCTTGCCTTGAGATCTAGAAGAGCAGGGTCTAGACTGCAAGGGTGAAAAACACAGGCTCTGGACTCAAGGTATTTCATCTCTGTGCGCCTCAGTGTTCTCAGCCATACAGTGGGAATCACAATATCACTCACAGGGCTCTTACCAAGAGTTGGCTGGATGCTGCAGGGAAAGTGTCTATTCCGGGCACCTTCCCTAGCCACTGTTATCATTAAGAAAAACTGTAGATTCTGCTGACCCTTCAACTCAGAGGTAAAGAGTGTGCAGCCATTAGATGTCCCTCTGTGGTACTGCTGGCCTTGGCTGGCAGGGTGAGGCTGGCACAAGCCTGGAGGCTAGGTCTCCAATGCTCGGTTCTAATCATGAGGGGATTGCAGAAAAGGAGCAATGGACAGAGCCCTTCGAGCAGCTCAGAGGCCTCCATCCTGGACGGGCAGCTTAGCACCAGCACACTGCTCCTCTGGGGGCAGACAGCAGAGGTTCCCACCTGGCTCCACCATGTCCAGTGCTCTGGCCTTGGGCTGCCCTTTTCCCTCTATGGGCCTCAGTTCACAAGTCAGAAGCATTGCTGGAGTTCTCCTCTAACCTCATCGGATCCAGTCCTACCTCAGGGCCTTTGCACTTGCTGAGTTGGCCACTCCTTGTCCTCCTTCAGGACTCAGCTCAAATGTCACTTCAGAGAAGCCACCCCTGACCCCCCCCAATCCAATATAACTCTATGTCCCCATTCATTCTTTGTCTCTACACATGTTTACTTACCTTCAGAACGCTCCTTAACACTCTAACATTATCTGCTCATCTCTTTGTTTACTTCTTGATTGTCTCACTCCTCCACCATGATGTCAGCTTCACAAGCAAACAGACTGCTTATCTTATCCACTGTATCTCCAGCACCTAGTACATAGCAGGTGTTCAGTAAATATTTGACGAAGGAATAATGGGACTTAATGATTTCTTTATTTTTCTTTTAAAAGCTTTCCCACTTAAAAACTAATTTTAATAACATCACTAACACATTACTGTGCTCTTTAAATTTTTCTTTACTGATACAGCTTATACTTAAAAGTCCCTTTGACTTCCATCCTGGATACTCCTGGAGGTGGTCATGTCACAGGTTTGGCTTATATCCTTCCAGAGTTACCTCTGTGCACTTAAACATGTAGACACACATGCCATTGTTGTTGTTGTTGTTGGTGGTGGTGGTGGTGTGTGTGTGTGTGTGTGTGTGTGTGTGTGTGTGTGTTTCTATAAATGGTGGATCAGATAGGGCTCAGAGCTGTAAGTGACATAAATGACTCTGAATAATTGGGATAATTACATTTTCTGTGTCAACTTAGCTAGGCTATGGGGCCCAGTTGTGTGGTCAAACACTAAATGTTGCTGTGAAGGTATTCTGTAGGTGTGATTAACATCTACCCTCATTTGACTTTAAGGGAAGGGAATTATTCTCAATTACGTGTACGGGCCTCATCCAATCCAGTGAAGGCGTTGAGAAAACCGAGTCTTCCTGAAGAAGGAAGAATTCTGCCTCAAAGAGTGTAACAGAAATCCTGCCTGAGTTTGCAGCCCGCTGGCCTGCCCTACAGATTTCAGACTTGCCACGCCTCCACAACTGCATGAGTCAATTCCTAAAAATATATAAATATGTAAAAATATATACGTATAGCTTACTGATTTTGTTTCCCAAATGAAATGAAAGATGGAAAATACCAAGAGCTGATGAGGAGGTGAGCATCCAGAGGGAATGGCAGGCAGGAATGCAACATGGTGCAAGCCCTTTGGAGAGCTGGCGGTTTCTAATAGCGAGACAGGCACTTCCTGTGTGACCCAGCGATAGGTGTGCACGCAACAGGTATACAGACAGATGTTTACCAACAGACACGCACAAGAACGTTCAGAGCAGCCCTGTTCATACATAGCCCCTTACTAGGAAGTCCCCACAGGCCCATCAGGAGGCGAGGAGATGAACAAACAGAGCCACATTCTGACTGTGGAATACGGCCCAGCGATGAGGATGAAGGACCTGCAACCACATGGATGGTTCCTCACGGCATTACCATTCAGAGAAAGCGGTCACACACAAACCAGACTGCCTGATTCCATTTCTGTAAAGTGCCAGAAATAGACACACTACCCTTGGTTACCCTTGGGACGTCGTGACTAGAGGAGGGCATGAGGAAAGCTTCTGGGGAACTAGAATGTTCTGTTTCTTGGTGTGGGGCTGGTTATACAGTGTGTTCACTTATGAAGATTTGTCAAGTTACCACTCATGACCTGTGCATTTCTCTGTATGTATGCCACATTTGAGTGCAAAGTTCAAATAAAAGTAGGGGTTTGGAGGGGGGGGCAGGAGGGTTGGAGAACCAGGTTTCAAAGTCAGCAGGGATAGTGGCCCAAATCTCACCACCGGACTGATTCAGGTAAGACATACCTGCTGCCACTGAACTCTCCCTGCTTCCAAGTCTGGGTAGGCATGTCTGATTGGTGAAGCCTGGGTCATGTGACCACCAACCTAGCTGCAAGAGACACTGGAAAGCGTGAGCATCTCCCAGGTTCAAAGTCAGTGGGCAGGCTCTGCCTCAACAAGATGGGGAGGCCTCAGACCACTACAAGGCGTTTAACCCTTCCCCAATCGATGGATATTTAGGTTGTTTCCAATGACTATCTTGGCACATACTCCTTGTGCCTGATGTTTCTCTGAGGGAGACACCAAACAATGGAATTGCTGAGTTCTAGAAAATATGAATTTACAGTTTTACTGGATACTGCAAAACTGTCTTCCTGAAAGGCTGTTCTAATTTACACCCCCGCCTGTAGTATACAAGTGTGGCCATTCCCAAATTCCCTGCGAGGCAGGTCAGAGAGCTTCCGGGGCAGGGTGGCGCCTCTGAGCGCTGTTTTTGGAGAGAAGTAATTTTAAGACTTCCCGCCTTTNCCTCCCCCCACCCCCCGTCTCCTGAACACTTTACGTCACCAATCTTTCATTTTTGTCAACCTGAGGAGGAGGCTATGTTAGCTAATCATTTTTTAAATTTGCATTTGCCTGGTTACCAGCAAAACTGGACATGTTGCCTGTTTCTTTGCCATATGTATGCTATAGCATTTTCTGTAAATTTCCTATTCCCACCCACTACCCTATTATTCTAGCTCAGGGGTGAGCAAACTGCAGCTCGCAAGTCGCATGCGGCTCTTTGGGTACGTACATGGGGCTCTGAAGTAGAATTGAAAATGAAACTAAAACTATCCTAGTTTCATTTATAAAATTTTTAAAGGACATTATTCACATCATGGTGATTTCATTTGCTTTATGGCTCTCGAATAATTTTTAATTTGCTGTGAGGGGCAGGATTGGCTCTTCTGTCTCAAAAGTTTGCCGACCCCCGTTCTAGTGGGTTGGGGTTTTATTCTTCTTGTTCTGCAGGGATTTTTATATATTATGGAAATAAATCATTTGTCTACATTTATATTGCAAATATTTTTACCCAGGTTGTTGTTTGTCTTTTAACTTTAGAGTGACCACATGCTGTTCCCCAGGCTCATGGCTTTTCTGAGACTAGGAAATAGACATTGAGGGGAAGGGGGTGGGGATAAAGGGGAAAAGGGATCTTTCTGACCTGACCCCACTTTGTTCCCACTAGCCGTGAGTACATTTTGTAACATCTCTACCAGTCATCCTTTCATTTCCTTGTTCTTGTCACCAATAGAAAACAGCATGAGAGCCCCAGCCTTAGGACTTCTTAACTTTCACTTTACAACTTTTTTCTCAAGTAAGAAGTTTACAGAAGTTGGTGTGGAGAAGAGTAATTCCCAGCGGCCTTAGCGCTCCCGGGGTCCTTGGTGGGGAGTCAGACAGGCTGAGCCCCACTCACGGGTGTCATTCATTAATTGACCTTGTGAATAAAGGAGTTAGATGAATCCCAGGAATTTGCAAATTCTTTCAGAAGCTGCCAATAGTGGGGAAATGGGGAAATGGTGTAAAAGGCATGTGGTGAGCAAATGGCCTGGAGGTGAAACTCAGCAGTGGTTGAAATTATCCTTGAAAAGCCTTTATGTCACTCATAAAAGGGCAAGAGTGCATGGTTAGGTGAATACGAACGCATGCATAATGCACAAAGTCAGGGTTTGCAAACTATACCCTTTGGGCCAGGTCCAGTACGCCACCTGGTTTTGTCAATAAAGTTTTATTAGCACGCAGCTGCACCCATTAGTTTCATGTCATCTGTGGTGGCGTTCCCGCTACCATGGCTGAGGCGAATAGTAGTGACAGAGACAATATGGCCCCACAAAGCCTAAAATATTTACAATCTGGTCTTTTACAGAAAAAAGTTACGGACCCCTGAACTAAGTAACAAAAAAGACATACTAAAGCTAAAATTTTACAGTATTTTTAGATACACAAAGAGATGGAAAAAAATGATTTTAAGAGTATTTGGCCAATCATGTATGGCTGAAACTTTCTAAGCTTAATGTATATAAGGTGTATTCCATTGCATAACATGGTTAACAGTAGTAGGACTTGGATCCAGACATTTAATTAAAAAAAAAAAAATTTCTGCCGCTGCCCGGCTCAGTAATCTTAGCAAGTTACTTTACACCTCTCGACCTCCGTTTTCTCCTCTGTAAAACGAGAGTGATGAGAGTACTGACCTCATAGGGTTGTGTGAGTATTAAGTGAGTAAAGAGGACTTGAAGGCTTTAAGTGCCTGGTACATAGTGAGTGCTCTATAATTATTTGCTATTATTATTATTATCATTGCTGCACACAGACAGGCCTAGATTGGTGCTGGGACTGTGCTACTTCCCAGGCCTGTGACCATAGCACATGACTTCCCTTCCCTGAGCCTCAGTCTTCCCATCCATAAATGGCATCACAATGGTTCCACCACCTGGAATTTGCTGGCAGGGCCGTGCTTAGCATAGCATCTGGCCCACAGTAGGCATTCGACACATGTCAGCTCTTAGTGCCCCTGTCCCCGTTATTCTGACCCCACAGCATCCGCGTCGTCTGGAACTCGGCCGTCCTCCCGCTGTGAAAGGCAGGTCACGACTCTGGACCCGCTGTGTACCAGCACGGGCTGTTTCCACCCAGTGGTTGTTTACTTAACTGTCCTCTTAAGTAACTCCCCAGCCATCAAAGGGCTGTTTACGAACCCCACAATTAGCCTTCCTGGATCAACAAATAAACATAAACCTAATTAGGCGTGTTTCTCCCGGCTCAAGGCACAGCGATCTGAAGACTTGGGCACAGTAGCCATCAGCTAAATAAACGTTTTTGGGATGTATAGATGAATGGTTATGTAAAGGGGATAGATGGATGTGTGGATGGGTGTGGATGGATGGGTGGGTGGGTGGGTGGATGGATGGATGGAAAAATTTATGGGTTGATGAACAGAGAGGTACTGTTCAAATTGATGAATAAATAGATGAAAGGATGGAAAGATAGAAGGATAGAAGGTGGGAAGGATAGAAAAATGAATAGGCAAATGAATAGAAGGATAGGTGCATGGAAGTAGGGATGGATAGATGGAGGAGTGAATGGAAGGACTAGACAGAATAATGGAAGGGTGGATAGATAGACATCTGGATGATGGATGAATGGATGGATGGATGGATGGAAGAATGAATGGGTGAGTGGAGGTTAGTGGAATGCTGGAAGGAGAGGGTGGTGTGAACTGAAGTTCCAGGTCTTTCTGACATTTGGGTCCTGCCCTGTTCTTCATTGAGATGATATGTCACCATCCAGTAGAAGGGACCCCAGCCTTGTGGTGTTAGAATAATCCTGGGTTTGAAGTCAGCCTCTGCCACATCCTAGTCCTGTGACCTTGAGCAAACCCTGCTACTTTCTGTGCCTTTGTCTCCTCTGTAAAATGAATG